TATATCTATATAAGAGAAAATGGCAAGACATTGGAAGATTGACATGAGAAGCCGAAGCGGAAAGCCCACATACATGTACCAAGGTTTGGCAAAGCTAGTGCCTTAAGCAGGAAGGAAGTTTAATTTGGTGTGGTGGTATCGTAATCGTATAAGAAGATCAAGGTTTCATTTCACATTCATCCTCCTCTCTTTTCTTTTGAATAGACAGATAAGAAGTTATTAAGGCAAGGAAGTCACTTCTTGCACAGATTACCCGCTACGCTCTTTGCTTTATGGCTTACAGGAGTACTTGACTAGCCTGCTTGACTGATCTTACAGTTCTCGAATCAGCTCTTAGGGGGGTAATTATGCTTAACACAGGGAGTTCGGACATTGCAAACATTCAACTGAAAGAAGGGATTGAGAGAGGGGATAAAGGGATTTGGCTCTGCAGATGAATTGAAGAAGAAGGATCGCATTCTCTACTTCTATCATTGGTGCTATCGTATATAATATAAGGAGCTTTTTGGTATGAAAAGGTGATCTTAACTAGAAATTGAATATCATAAGAGAAGGAAGATCGTAGCCTAGAAAGTCTTACGTGCTCTCTCCTCTATCTAAGTAAGAGAAAGAGGAAGGTACAATCATGCTACTTTAGTTATATGCTTAACACATGCAAGTCGAATGAAGTTTTCTTGGAAACGGGAGTGAACGAAGGACCAACGAGGATGAAGGAGGAGTTGGGGAAGAAGCGGGGTAGAGGAATTGGTCAACTCATCAGGCTCATGACCTGAAGACTGCAGGTTCGAATCCTGTCCCCGCCTAATCATCTGAGGCCGTAGTAAGCCTCCATCTTTCAGATTCGTAAGTAACTCAGTGAGTCCTTTCCTTTTCCCATGCTTTTGTTGGTCAACAACCAACCACAACTTTCTATAGTTGTTCACTACTCCTAGAGGCTTGACGTAAGCTGTCTGGAGGGAATCATTTTGTTAAAATCAATTAATCTAATCATGCGAAGACCTAAACTCCTTTTTGTCAGTTCCACGGATTCTACGGCTAATGACATTCTAACAGGAGTACCCATTTTGGATATGTTTCCTAATATGGCATTAGACGCCATAGAGAAAGATCCTCTGTACTGTTCAGGCACGGTTTCTCTCTCGGAGGAATTAGTGAATCCTATGGTTATGGCAAGTTTAACCCGGTTGAATCACTTCCTCGTTAACATGCGCTGGGATTACCAAGGTGGAGTGGTTCAATCCGGATATATTTGGAATCTACAGCGAGAGTTGGACCAAACACCGACCGAACTCCTCAGCAATAAGCTGGACTTTATTTTTTTTCGGGAATCCCTGAATTTATCTACTAGCGTGAATAACTGGTATCTGCAGAATTTGGGCATTCCTGGCCCTGTCAATTTTATTCAGGAATATGAACAAAAATGTTATTCTAACTATGTTAGAGTTATGGAAATCCCCTCCCCACTTGACCAATTTGAGATTGTCCCATTGATTCCTATGAATATCGGAAACTTCTATTTCTCATTCACAAATCCATCTTTGTTCATGCTGCTAACTCTGGGTTTTTTCCTACTTCTGATTCATTTTGTTACTAAAAAGGGAGGAGGAAACTTAGTCCCAAATGCTTGGCAATCCTTGGTAGAGCTTCTTTATGATTTCGTGCTGAACCTGGTAAAGGAACAAATAGGTGGTCTTTCCGGGAATGTGAAACAAATGTTTTTCCCTTGCATCTTGGTCACTTTTCTTTTTTTGTTATTTTGTAATCTTCAGGGTATGATACCTTATAGCTTCACAGTGACAAGTCATTTTCTCATTACTTTGGCTCTCTCATTTTCTATTTTTATTGGCATTACTATAGTGGGATTTCAAAGACATGGGCTTCATTTTTTCAGCTTTTTATTACCCGCAGGAGTCCCACTGCCGTTAGCACCTTTTTTAGTACTCCTTGAGCTAATTTCTTATTGTTTTCGCGCATTAAGCTTAGGAATACGTTTATTTGCTAATATGATGGCCGGTCATAGTTTAGTAAAGATTTTAAGTGGGTTCGCTTGGACTATGCTATGTATGAATGAGATTTTCTATTTTATAGGGGCTCTTGGTCCTTTATTTATAGTTCTTGCATTAACCGGTCTGGAATTAGGTGTAGCTATATTACAAGCTTATGTTTTTACGATCTTAATCTGTATTTACTTGAATGATGCTATAAATCTCCATTAAAGTTCTTCTTTCTTTTATTTAGATTTATAATTGAACAAAAGCGAGGGATGGATGTCTGAGCGGTTGAAAGAGTCGGTCTTGAAAACCGAAGTATTTCTAGGAATACCGGGGGTTCGAATCCCTCTCCATCCGCGAAGTCATAAGTTCTCTCTTGCCGCCTGATAAGAACGAATCGGATCGACTCGACTGATATGATAGATGGAATGGGTACCTTGTGTTATGATTTTGTTAGGACTTTGTCTCCCTTTCGTTATCTTCTCTTTTTTTCTTGGTCGGCAAGGGTTAGGGCCTTTCTCGCTGGGCGAGCGCATCCGATTAGTCCTTTCCTAAGCCACTTCCCGTTCAGTTGCTGAAAAAAAGAAATGGGGATAAGCTATGCGACGACAGATAAATCTGAATCTACTTTTTGCCAGTTCCACGAATTCTGCAGATAACGACGTTCTGCCAGGAGTGCCAGTTCTGGACATGTTTCCTAATATATCAGTAGACACCATAATTAACCACCCCTTCTACTGTTCGGGTACAGTAGCTCTCGCAGAAGAATTGGTGGATCCAATTATTATGGAGAGGTTAACCCGGTTGAATCACTTCCTCGTTAACATGCGCTGGGATTTTAACGGGGGAGTTATTAAGGCCGGATATATTAGAAACCTCCAACGAGAATTGGATCAGACTCCCGCGGAACTCCTCGGCGACAAGCTGAACTTTATTTTTTTTCGGGAATCCCTGAATTTATCTACTAGCGTGAATAACTGGTATCTGCAGAATTTGGGCGTTCCTGGCCCTGTCAATTTTATTCAGGAATATGAAGAAAAATGTTATTCTAACTATGTTAGAGTTATGGAAATCCCCACAGCGCTGGAAGAATTTAATTTTACATTTTTATTTGGTATGATTAGTAGTATAGGTCTTTTTTTATTAATATTCCTATTCTGGCAGATGAAAAGAAAGAATTGCTGCAATAAGTGTGTGAAAGGGATGTTAGAAGGTGCAAAATCAATAGGTGCCGGAGCTGCTACAATTGCTTCAGCGGGAGCTGCTGTCGGTATTGGAAACGTCTTCAGTTCTTTGATCCATTCTGTGGCGCGAAATCCATCATTGGCTAAACAATCATTTGGTTATGCCATTTTGGGCTTTGCTCTAACCGAAGCTATTGCATTGTTTGCCCCAATGATGGCCTTTTTGATCTTATTCGTTCTGGTCGGAAGGGCTAGTCCCCGAAAATGCCCGTTAATCAAGTTGGGGATTAGAACTTTATACAGAAGGTTTTTCCGTACCAGTTTCTTCTACCTATACCGCAGTTGAAGCACCTAAAGGAGAATTTGGTGTCTTTCTGGTCAGTAATGGAAGCAATCGTCTCTACCGTCGTAAAATAAGAGCACCCGGCTCTGCCCATTCACAAGGACTCGATTCTATGTCCAAACATCATCAGCAGATGTGGTCACCATGGTACTCAAGATATTGTGTTTGGAGAGGTGGATAGATAGGACGACTAGTTGCTCGATCAGGACCTTAGCTTTATTGCGAGCCTAGAAGTCTCTCTTTTTTCGGAACAGCCTTTAAGTCAAATCCAACCTAATATCATTCAGAGTAAAAGGACTACGGAACCAGAGAGAACCACACTTGCTTCGCTAGGAATGAAGCAGCACACCAATGGGCAAAGGGTATGGGCGACCTATCTGCTGCGCTAGAGAAAGAAAGTGCTTCGGGCTGCTTTGCTGCGCTAGAGGAAGGAGACTGATAAGGAGAGGAGTGATCCAAGCTCAACTCGATACTCCACTCATCTTTCTCGATTCTATTGACATAATTTGGTTTCTTCTATATTAGTGAAATCATTACATGACAGTGGATCTTGCTTGGTACTTGTCCGAGGGGAGATCCATACTCGACTCATCTTTCTCAATTCTACTGACATGATTACTTGGAATTGATTGTCGTGAACTCAATCTCTCATATAGGCATAGTTGAATTGAATATCGCGAAGCAAAAACCCAAACTTGAATATCGCGAAGCAAAAGCCCAAACTTGAATATCGCGAAGCAAAAGGCTACATCAGACGATGTACAAGTTTTTCAAAAATGATTTGATCGATTGGTGTGTTTCGATCTTGTTGATTCACTAGGTAAATCACAGCCTCATCCTTCTATATTACCTGTTGATCGATCAAAAAAAGCACCTTACCTCGGATCAAGAAAAAAGAAGAAACCGAATCTCGGAAAACGACAAATCACACAGTTGAACAAGGTGGGAGTAGCTCATGTGATCTAGTCGAAGGTCCATAGGAAACTGATAAGGAGAGGGGTCTTCCATCTCACTATTCTAGATTCTACCGAATTAGTTGGAATTGAATTCGTCCAAGATTAAATGCCAGTTGAATGTCGACTAGTGTTGAAGGTCCAAGCTGTACTCGACTCATAATTTTGCTTTTCTATACCTTACTCGTGAAATCGATGATGATTACATGACAGTTGAATGTCGCCTTATTGCTTGATCCTTATCTTGTATCCAAACCATACTCAACTCAGAATCTACTGACGATCGACCACCAACTCATGATTACAAAAACCCTCTCTTCGAAAACCCAATAATCACAAACCAACTCGTCGACTTTGGTTGATCCTTCACTTGGCCAAAGGTCCTAGCCGTACTTCCCTCTACTTATAATCACCAACTCTATCAAATTTTTAGAATTGAAATCTTTGACTATTACAAAAGTACATTTTCCATAGAATGCAGGAACCCCATCCCCTCACCCCTCATCATCTAGCACACCCTTGGGGTTCACATACGGTTTTAAAAAGCGAAGCAACTCTTCATACTCATGGCGAAGCACGCAACAAGCCGAACCCTCAATCCCAGTGGGGACTACTCCGTTGGGGGTTACTTCGCAAGGACGCCGCATGTGCAGTTCCTCAGTCTTCCTTCTCCTCCATATGAAGATTTATCCCATACGGTGCTAGCGAAGCAAGTCTTCCGAGTTCATACTGCATCTCGAACGAAGGTCACTCACAGTTCCGAAGGTCACTACGGTTTCCGAGTCTTATTGTTCTTCTTCTTCCACGTATGACAGATACCCTCAACCCTCAGGCCCACAGGGGGTTGCTACGCCCAGGGCTACTCCGTTGGCCCTGAAGGGTTACTTCGTTAGGGCTACTTGGAGGAGTTGACCCACCCGAACATGGTGCCTTGATCTTCAGCTTTCCAATAAGAAGATCATTGATGCAGCACACTGAGCTAAATTCTTAAACTATCTTATACCGGTGTGCTGCCTCGCAGAGATTCTCAACCTAGTCCGCGCATACTCTTTCCGTTTCTGTCTTACAGTCTTTCTTGTTCTTCTTTTCCCTTTTTCCCTATAGTTAGAAGATGAGCCCCTGGGGTGCCCTGCCCTTCTTTTACGGTGATGGACATTCAATAGATTTATCTGCTGTTGCCTGATCTACGACCCCCTCAATCTGTCGAAGCAAATGCTGCACAGAGGGAGAAGTTGCCTGACCGGGCTATTCCCTTGTTATCTGTTATCCAACTGGTTGAATAGTGATAAGTCTGTGCTGGATCCCTCTGAAGCTGGTCATTCCTTGTTTCCAGTTAATAGTGAAGTCTTACTTAAATTCCTATTACTGTTAGCTATTAGCACTTGCTTGTTAGGTGAGGACTCTCTTATCTGGTTAACCTTAGTGGTAGCACACTCCAAGTCTAGACAATCTTCCTCCCAAGATCCTCATCAGTCCTGGCTAGCCTCTCTTTCCAATTCGACTTTCCCACAGCAACCTGTTTGATGCAAATAAGCTCCGATCTGCTGCTCTTCCTCTATCTGTCCTAACCCTTCTTTTTCGGAGATACTAAGGACCTTAAACCGGTTTTGGGATTCTCTAGTAATTAGCCGGTGAAGATGGAATCAAGGGGGTGTGCTGAAGAAGGAAATCTAGGACACTTGAATCGATCAAGAGTTGCTGCGCTAGGGTGTGCTAAGGAATAAAATGCCCTTGACGGAAAGGGCTAACCAGCTAGCTTCAATCGACTCACTCTCCTCAAAGAGGCTTAGCCATACTCTCCCCTTCTTCCTGACTGACTTCTTGGTAAATGAGATTTCCCGTCTAGATCAATTCTCAAAGATCTTTGCAACACACTGATAGATAACAGAGGTCTTCTGTCTCTTACACTAGTCTGGTTATTAGCATCGCTTTGAAGAATTCTCGATCCTCACTTCAACTGGTGTGCTTCGGTTACTTTGCTAAGCTTTCTTCTTTCCAAGAACCTCTCGATACCAGAATGGCTACCAGGGCGCTACTAGACCAACTCAGATCAGATCGTCGGCATAATTATATAATTCTTTTTACTTGCCCAGTGGTCTCTGAAGTTGACTACTAGTGGTAGTGCAGAAGTAAGACCTCTTTACCTCACATCTTTATTATTGGGCGAATTGCCCTATTAACATTTTTGGAGTTTTTCTAGATCCCACCTGACACCTGGCACCTAACCTAATAGCTTTTTTTTGTCTGGGCTGGCTACCAACACTTATGGAATTCAGAGTGAAGGCCTTCTCACGGTGTGCTTGTACACATACTCGCATACTTTCGCTTTTCCTTTGTTTCTATCCTAGCTTAATTCTCAAGTGGGAGTCTTAGTTTTGATTCCTCACTCTCATATAGGTAAATTCTTAGGAAGAAGAAAGATCGGCAATGAATGAGAAGACTGGAGCAGAAGTTGGTCGGGCTCTCCGCGAGCAGAGCGATTGAACATAAATAGAAAGGACTTCGCCCATTATCTCCTCATCTTACTAGGTCTGTACTACGGCTCACTTCGACGTTTCCGATTTCCCGTAGAATTCTTTATTCTTTTCTCTCTTTGCTAAAGAGCTGTAGCAAAGCAACCTCAAGGCTGAGGAGAATTTATTGGATGAAAACGGATACAGAAAAGGATGGAGCATTGTGCAAACGGAAGTCTGGGACCCACTCAGCTAAAGATCAGCCCGAGTTGGATCCGCCCAGTTGGAAAAGAAAAGGCTGAGCTATGGAATAGGCCAGGCCCGCGAACTCTAGATAAGATGCAGTATGAATACCAACGTCTAAGAGGTCACATAGTTGATTTAAGATATCTATCGAATGGTTCCGCTAAGAAAGATTTATTCGCCTGAAGGTGAATGGCTTTCAAAGCTGTTATGCATACAACATTTCTGTTGCGAGAGACCTTTCATTCGATTTCTGACTTCTTTAGGAGATACCAGGTTGAAGAATCTTTACTTGAAAGAATGCCTTGGCACACTTATCGAAGCGATGGGAACCTTCTAGGGCAGGAGCACATATTAGGTATATCCACAGCATCACTAAAAGCAAAGAAGAGGCACGATTCAATTTATATCTCCATCAACCGAAGCTTACAGGATAGGTCTCCTTCTTCGAGTGAAAGAAAGAGTCCAGGCTAGCCTTGGTATGTACTCATAGATCAGGACTCAGGCTGAAAACACCATCAACCAAAGACCGAAAGCAGCCCACTTCTCTAAGATCAGGAAAACATATTTCAGTAAATCTGATCAAAGCGAACCAGTCACTCGAATGGTTTATTGCTTCCTACAGATGAGGGATGAAGTAACACCTAAACGAACTTCTCTCTTCATGGTACTGGAAGAATAGATTCTCTAATGACAGGGTGTGCTGCAAGTAGGGCAGCTTCAGTTGATTCATCATCAGCTTCTCAATCTTCGTTTGCCGAGTATCAAAAAAAGACGATTCCTCAGATGTGCTATCCGGCACTCCTGCTTTTTTCCAAGAGGATACTGGCTGATTTCTAGTTATACGCCGTCTTTTCCTTGCTGCTGTCTGTTGTCCTTGTCTTATCTTTGTGCTGTGTTGCAAAGAAGAAGTCATCACATGTCTCTGTAACACACTCAGTTTCTGGTCCAAAGACCCTTGTTGGCAAGACTCCTCCGATCCAATAGCCAACGGTCCGATCGATTTGACTTTCTTTTTTGATCGAGAGCTTATCAAGCAAAGGTATGTTGATGATCCAGACTCTGATGAACCAATCATCGTCAACAGTAAGATGGAGCCCACTGTCTTTACTATTACTCCATTTGTGCACGAGATGCTGACTAAGTAAAGAAAGAGGTCTGGGTTGAGTACAAGTTCTCCGCAGCACAGATGTTGATCAATAAGTTTCTGGGATTTCCAGTTCTATCGGCTGAAGAGGCTGCTGTTGACTCAACCTAGCAAGATATTCCTTTCAGCACTACAGCGTGTACTCCGCAGATGGCAGCTCCCTACATTCTCTGTGGTTACAACAGGTTCTCTATTACCAACAAAAGATGACCTATAAGAGTCTGGAAGTCTCCTGTTCGGCACATGGACATCGTATTGATTTTGTTTCAGAGGAAGCGTGGTCGCCAACCTTTCAGCAAGTTTGGAACCTGGTCTTATCTTTGGGATAGAAGGAGCCTCGCATCTATCAGCTAGGAGGCTGTATGTGCCAGATCAAGGTGTGGAGATGCATTTGTCAAATCTCCGTCTGATCAACCTCAGCAGGAGTATGAGAAGGGTTACTATTCGCATTCCTTGCTGTGGCAGCCGCTGAGGCATTTCGTGGTGGTAATAAGATTAAGGTTGCTAAGAGGGGTAGTGCTCAGGCTGAGGCAGAGTCTCCTAAGTCTCGTAAGGTAAACTGGTTCTATTGGGTGAAGCACACTACCATGTAGAAGGAAGTGAACGGCTACTCTCCTAAGTCTGTGCTTGGAGGTGCTGCTCCACTATATAATCTGTATTGGTTGTTAGCTCTTGTTAGTGCTATTGAAAAAAGCTCCTGAGATATATAGTTAACAGCACAGGCTGTGGTTGTCGAGTCTGCTTCTCTAATTCTTTTATTTGTCTGGAATAAACAAATAAAGTAAGTGATCGGCAGCTATTCTCTTTGGTTCGACAGGAGGTCCAGAACTTGCTTCGCTAGCAGTGAATAATGCTATTCCGGTGAAGCAGGTTGGCTAGTGCAAGCACACTAATTAGCACACCTCTGGTCTGTTTTCCGAACGAGTGAGTTGTGCTTCAAAGCAGGGGTGGTGCTTCACAAGTTACTCGTCCAGTCAAAGCAAGAAGAGAACTCAGTCCATAGGGTCAAAGCGTCTTTTCGGCGATAAATATAGGTGAAGTCAGCTACAGAATCCTCAAACGGAGCAAGTGAAAGAGTTGCTTCGCTAGGAGTAAGATAAGATAGAAGATAGATAAGGCTTCTTCCTTGATTAAGTGAGCAATAGACAGAGAACTGTGAAGTAACACAGAGGAATTGACGGAAGCTTCTAAACAAACACGCGTACACGCATGCAATAATAGTTGGGCGGCAAATGCTCGGTTGGTTGTTCCTGGGGTAAGTTGGTTGACTAGCAAATCCTCGTTATAGCGAAGCAAGCTTGAAGATTGACTTTTCTTCGCTAGGTCTGGCTAAAGCTCTGCCAGCTTTAGACTGAACTCTCTTTAGGCTCGGTAATATGTAAGACCTCTTAGCTAGTATGTGGAGCTAGATTCCTAAGTAAGCATGGAGTTGAGTTCTCTTTTCTTTTTAATTGTGCTGCTTCTTCTTTAGCACACTGGCTAATTATCACCGGATTGTGCTTCTGCTCAGCACACCCCGAAGTCCCAAGTTTGAGTCTCTTCCTCTGCTTGCAAGCTACGATTCTTCGTCACCAACCAGATCGGCTCAAGCATAGCATCTTTTACTAGCGAAGCTCCAGGATCGAATCCCTTCTCACTATTTTATTATCCAACCTAAATTCTCGCAATGAAGTTTTCTCTAGCGAAGCAAGATCCCACTTCTTTTGCATAAGCACACTCCTTCTACGGGACTGGCTCTCTTCTTTTATCTTTTTGGGGGTTCCAGTTTCATAATTAGAAATCTTGAGCAGAGCTTGTGCAGCACATTAGTTCACTCTTTGGCAATCCTTTGAATCTTCTACTAGTGAAGCAGCCCTAGCGTAGCAATTTTAGTTTTCCTTCCTCCACACTTTCGGTTGATAAGTCAAGCACATAAAAGGATACTTCTTTTCGGAGGGATTATGGATCACGGATGTTCCAACAGATGGATCTATCGGAAATGAAGAAATATCGAACAGGCCTACGTCTATCCAAATGCTAAGCCTTGTCACTAGCCATCTATGGTATCCTCGGTAGGACGATGAATGTCACTAGCCATCTATGGTATCCTCGGTAGGACGATGAATGTCTCTAGCCCAGCTATTGCCCCGTTGAGATCCTTTAGCCCTACTACTCGCTTGCCCTATTAATTAGCGCACCAATGGACTTCCCTAGCAAATCAATTGAGCACACCGGTAAAACATAGGTCGAAAGCTCAAAGTGAGGGGGAGATCCCTTACTTGACTTTCAACTACGGCATTTCCAGACTAAGTCAGTAGTCCGCACGTTTCGAAGGGCTTTAAGGTGAAAGTTCGGATATCTCCCAAGTATCAGAAATGCAATTGGATTAAGGAGAATCGGACAGATCCTTTGGTTACATCTCGGGTGCGTGTACTAGTAAAGGAAAACGGTATCTTTACCACCCAAAGCGGACCAAGCGGGAGATCCTAAGAGATTAGGAGAAAGGGAAGAAAACTTATCTATCCCTGTGTCAACTGGTCAGGCACGTCTTCAATGCCAGTCGAGAAAGACTGTTTCATTTATTGCCGGGGATTGGCTTCTCTCTCGATTTGGAGCTACTTTGCAGCTCAGAAGCGGGTTGTGGTGTATTGGTGTGCTCAAATAAGCTAGTTTGATACCTTAGGCTACCAACCGAAGTTTCTTTCTTACTCTTATACAATTGCTTCGATTTTGTGTTTAGCGGTGTGCTGCAAGTCTTCTTTATTGATTAAAGATTCTGTCACTGAGACCTCCGTATAACCAGATTCCAGGTTATTTCCAGCACACTCTCGGATTGTTCTTAACTCCGGATCTCAGATATCAGATAGTAATTCTGCTCGAAAGAGTTAGGAGGCGCTTATTCTTAACAACGTATCAGCTGTCTTATTACCTAACAGTTCGGTAGCCTACCTCTTTCCTTGGTGCTCAGTGCAAGTGCTTTAGACTCTTCGTTTGGTAAGTCTTAATTCTTATCTCATCACTGTACTACTCTCTGTGTTGGTTTCTAATGCTAGTGGGGGTGCTGCTTCCTCCCCTTAGGGAAAATTCCTATGAAAAGGGGTTTTTTTTATTCCTACGGTCTTTGGCGTGATCTCTGAAACTGAAATTCGACTGAAAAGTTACCAATAGAATAGGCTTTAGAGTAGCTCTTTCCAAATAGGTCGAGTAGCCATTTCTAGAAATAGAATGAATTAAAAGGAGCCAAATAGTTGGGATTCACACGCACAGCCTTATCCTATGAGTCTGCCTATGCTACGCGCCTGCCTTTGAGAGCCTTTCCGCTGGTTCCCTTCATCGGCGTCATTGAACCTCGTTAGCATTTCGAAAAGAATTGGAGGCTCAAAACGAATGGTCAAAGGAATTGATGATTCGTGTTTAGTCTCCGATCTTCGCCTAGTCTTAGAACCTGCACTGTAGAGAGGCGCTGCGCTGCCCTCTTTCTGCCGCTCTCCTCCCAGATGTAGGTCTTCCCGGAAGTGAGAACACTGCTGCCCAACTTATAACCCGGTCACTCCCCGTCTTCATCCTAGACGCCACTGGTACTATTCATCTATACTATATATGGATGACTCCTGCTTTCTCCCCAATGGAATGATCAGGACCCTAAAGAAGGATCGTCTCACTCCAACTAGAATAAAGATGAGCTAGTTAGCGCTGGAGTTTTCTTGCTTCTTCGCCTCTGGATAGTAGTTTGAATTAATCTTTGATACTGGGATTAACTCTTGAAGGAAAGATCTTCCACTCCTACGCTTTCAAGCGATTTGGATTCCAAGACGATAGATAGGCCGGTTATGAAAAAGAGGGATCGAGCAGGACGAAGTCAACCCGGAAAGAAAGTCGGATAATATGAAAGGTCATCCGTCTCATTCTAAGCGTAAAATTCTTTTTTTTCAGAGAAAGAAGAGCCCATCAGTTCTCACTCTTCCTTACCAGTCAGTTCCCGGGTCTATAACAAAGCAGTCACAGTGTGTCATCTTCTTGCGTGGAAGTTAGTCCTCCATTAATGGTATCAATGCCTGTCCCCCTCTCATCCCTGTCTATTGGGCTTCACGCTAGCCCCCATTTCGATCAAGAAGAAACTTCCCAGTCCCAAGTGAGAAAGTGAGAATAGTCAGATGATCCCATCTCATAGATAATTGGCTGTCTCGGAAAGAGAGGAAGTGATGAATATAGAAGATCTAGCTCTCATTCCTACAGAATAGACGACATCAGAAGGAAAGATCAGTCGATAGAATAGAATCCGAGGATTTGCTTGGATTTGTCCGCTTCATCTCCCCCGGTTTACGCTTCCAGGTTCTCACATTTGGTTCTTGGAAAAGAACAATTTAATTCGGATGTGATTTTACTTCTTCCCTGATGATCTTGTCGGCCCTATCTATCCTGAAAAAGAAGCATTCCAGAATCAAAAAGAAGAAAGGTCTCGACGAGCATTAACTAGTTGATGAGGTCTCAACGAGCGACTGAAAGGAGAGGAGAAAAAAGCTGCTAGAAAGAAAGTGAGCTACGATCGGATAAGGTATGCGCCTTCTATTATTGATGTTGTCACTGCCTCAACTTAACCTCAGAATAAGATTGAACGTCAACGAGAAGCGTCAGTCCAAGCTAAAGAGGAATGATGGAGAGCAAGAAAAGTCCTGTGCTGACTCTGTGTTCTAAGCTGCCATTTCGATCAAAAGTATACTTATCTTTCCTCCTACTCGAGAATGATGGATCCGGGGAGGCAAGGAAGTAGTAGAAATGTTGAAGAGGAGACTTAAAGGCAACTCGAGTCAAACGAGAGGTCCATAGGGACTCGACTGAAAGGAGAGGTACGGAGTGACTCGAGCAAAGCAAGAGGTTTAAATAACTCGAGTGAAACGAGAGGAGACAACCCGCTCTTGAACTTGAAACTATGCGCGTCGCGTCTTCGATCTAGCAATCTTGGACAATTGTTTTGATGAGCTGTCACTAAACTAAAAAAAGAGAGAAGAGAAAGAACTGGGAATGGGCGCCTGGTTGCTTGCTTACCAAGCCATCCTGGCAAGCTCCTCCAGTTCGATTATTATTCTTGACTTGACTTTGTATAAAAACTACTCACTATCAAAATGAAAGACGATCGATTATCTACCCAAGAAGATAGAGAGTCCCACATACG